AGACCCATAGACTACTCACACAGAGACCCATAGACTACTCACACAGAGACCCACAGACTACTCACACAGAGACCCACAGACTACTCACACAGAGACCCACAGACTACTCACACAGAGACCCATAGACTACTCACACAGAGACCCATAGACTACTCACACAGAGACCCATAGACTACTCACACAGAGACCCATAGACTACTCACACAGAGACCCACAGACTACTCACACAGAGACCCATAGACTACTCACACAGAGACCCATAGACTACTCACACAGAGACCCATAGACTACTCACACAGAGACCCATAGACTACTCACACAGAGACCAATAGACTACTCACACAGAGACCCACAGACTACTCACACAGAGACCCATAGACTACTCACACAGAGACCCATAGACTACTCACACAGAGACCCATAGACTACTCAGAGACTCAGACTACTCACACAGAGACCCACAGACTACTCACACAGAGACCCACAGACTACTCACACAGAGACCCACAGACTACTCACACAGTAGAGACCCACAGACTACTCACACAGTAGAGAACCACAGACTACTCCCACAGTAGAGACCCACAGACTACTCACACACAGAGACCCACAGACTACTCACACACAGAGACCCACAGACTACTCACACAGTAGAGACCCACAGACTACTCACACAGTAGAGACCCACAGACTACTCACACAGTAGAGACCCACAGACTACTCACACAGTAGAGACCCACAGACTACTCACACAGTAGAGACCCACAGACTACTCACACAGTAGAGACCCACAGACTACTCACACAGTAGAGACCCACATACTACTCACACAGTAGAGACCCACAGACTACTCACACAGTAGAGACCCACAGACTACTCACACAGTAGAGACCCACAGACTACTCACACAGTAGAGACCCACAGACTACTCACACAGTAGAGACCCACAGACTACTCACACAGTAAGACCCACAGACTACTACACACAGTAGAGACCCACAGACTACTCACACAAGTAGAGACCACAGACTACCACACAGTAAGCCCACATACTACTCACACAGTAGAGACCCACAGACTACTCACACAGTAGAGACCCACATACTACTCACACAGTAGAGACCCACAACTACCACACAGTAGAGACCCACAGACTACTCACTCACTCAGAGACCCACAGACTACTCACTCACTCAGAGACCCACAGACTACTCACTCACTCAGAGACCCACAGACTACTCACTCACTCAGAGACCCACAGACTACTCACTCACTCAGAGACCCACAGACTACTCACACAGAGACCCACAGACTACTCACACAGTAGAGACCACAGACTACTCACACAGTAGAGACCCACAGACTACTCACACAGTAGAGACCCACAGACTACTCACACAGTAGAGACCCACAGACTACTCCACACAGTAGAGACCCCACAGACTACTCACACAGTAGAGACCCACAGACTACTCACACAGTAGAGACCCACAGACTACTCACACAGTAGAGCCCACAGACTACACACAGAGACCCACAGACTACTCACACAGTAGAGACCCACAGACTACTCACACAGTAGAGACCCACAGACTACTCACACAGTAGAGACCCACAGACTACTCACACAGTAGAGACCCACATACTACTCACACAGTAGAGACCCACAGACTACTCACACAGTAGAGACCCACAGACTACTCACACAGTAGAGACCCACAGACTACTCACACAGTAGAGACCCACAGACTACTCACACAGTAGAGACCCACAGACTACTCACACAGTAGAGACCACAGACTACTCACACAGTAGAGACCCACAGACTACTCACACAGTAGAGACCCAAGACTACTCACACAGTAGAGACCCACAGACTACACACACAGTAGAGACCCACAGACTACTCACACAGTAGAGACCCACAGACTCACACAGTAGAGACCCACAGACTACACACAGTAGAGACCCACAGACTACTCACACAGTAGAGACCCACAGGAGCTACTCACACAGTAGAGACCCACAGACTACTACACACAGGCGAGGACCCACAGACTATCACACAGTAGAGAACCCATACTACTCACACAGTAGAGACCCACAGATACTCCTCCACACAGTAGAGACCCATCAGACCTACTCACACAGTAGAGGACCCACAGACTACATCACACAGTAGAGACCCACAGACTACTCACACAGTAGAGACCCATAGACATACTCACACAGTAGAGACCCATACAGACTACTCCACACGTAGAGACCCACAGACTACTCACACAGTAGAGACCCAAAAGACTACTCACCAGTAGAGACCCACAGACTACTTACACCACAGTAGAGACCACACGACTCACCAGTAGAGACCCCCAGACCTTTACTCACACAGTAGAACCCACCAGGACTACTCACACAGTAGAGACCCACAGACTACTCACAACAGTAGAGACCCACAGACTACTCACACCAGTAGAGACCCACAGACCTACTCACACAGTAGAGACCCACAGACTACTCACCACAGTAGAGACCCACAGACTACTCACACAGTAGAGACCCACAGACTACTCACACAGTAGAGGACCCACAGACTACTCACACAGTAGAGACCCACAGACTACTCCCACAGTAGAGACCCACAGACTACTCACACAGTAGAGACCCACGACTACTCACACAGTAGAGACCCACAGACTACTCACACAGTAGAGACCTCACAGATACTCACACAGTAGAGACCCACAGACTACTCACACAGTAGGACCCACAGAACTACTCACACAGTAGAGACCCACATACTACTCACACAGTAGAGACCCACAGACTCTCACACAGTAGAGACCCACAGACTACTCACACAGTAGAGACCCACAGCTACTCACACAGTAGAGACCCCACATACCTACTCACACAGTAGAGACCCACAGACTACTCACACAGTAGAGACCCCCAGCTACTCACACAGTAGAGACCCACATGACTACTCACACAGTAGGACCCACGACTACTCACACAGTAGAGACCCACAGCTACTCACCCAGTAAGACCACAGGACTACTCACACAGTATGAGACCCACAGACTACTCACACAGTAGAGACCCAACAGACTACTCACACAGTAGAGACCCACAGGCTACTCACACAGTAGAGACCCACAGACTACTCACACAGTAGAGACCCACAGACTACTCACACAGTAGAGACCCACAGACTACTCACACAGTAGAGACCCACAGACTGACAAATTGAGTGAGTGAGTTTGTGAGCGATTGCTTGACAAGCCAAGGGCGGTGGTGGTTGTGGTTGGTGGTTGTGATTAGTGCTAGTGGTTGGTGGTTGTGATTAGTGGTTGTGGTTGGTGGTTGTGGTTGGTGGTTGTGATTAGTGCTTGTGGTTGGTGGTTGTGATTAGTGCTAGTGGTTGGTGGTTGTGATTAGTGGTTGTGGTTGGTGGTTGTGATTAGTGGTTGTGGTTGGTGGTTGTGATTAGTGCTAGTGGTTGGTGGTTGTGGTTGGTGGTTGTGGTTGGTGGTTGTGGTTGGTGGTTGTGGTTGGTGGTTGTGGTTGGTGGTTGTGATTAGTGCTAGTGGTTGGTGGTTGTGGTTGGTGGTTGTGGTTGGTGGTTGTGGTTGGTGGTTGTGATTAGTGCTAGTGGTTGGTGGTTGTGGTTGGTGGTTGTGGTTGGTGGTTGTGGTTGGTGGTTGTGGTTGGTGGTTGTGGTTGGTGGTTGTGATTAGTGCTAGTGGTTGGTGGTTGTGGTTGGTGGTTGTGGTTGGTGGTTGTGGTTGGTGGTTGTGGTTGGTGGTTGTGATTAGTGCTAGTGGTTGGTGGTTGTGGTTGGTGGTTGTGGTTGGTGGTTGTGGTTGGTGGTTGTGGTTGGTGGTTGTGGTTGGTGGTTGTGGTTGGTGGTTGTGGTTGGTGGTTGTGGTTGGTGGTTGTGATTAGTGCTTGTGGTTGGTGGTTGGTGGTTGTGGTTGGTGGTTGTGGTTGGTGGTTGTGATTAGTGCTTGTGGTTGGTGGTTGTGATTAGTGGTTGTGGTTGGTGGTTGTGGTTGGTGGTTGTGATTAGTGCTTGTGGTTGGTGGTTGTGATTAGTGCTAGTGGTTGGTGGTTGTGATTAGTGGTTGTGGTTGGTGGTTGTGATTAGTGGTTGTGGTTGGTGGTTGTGATTAGTGCTAGTGGTTGGTGGTTGTGGTTGGTGGTTGTGGTTGGTGGTTGTGGTTGGTGGTTGTGGTTGGTGGTTGTGGTTGGTGGTTGTGATTAGTGCTAGTGGTTGGTGGTTGTGGTTGGTGGTTGTGGTTGGTGGTTGTGGTTGGTGGTTGTGATTAGTGCTAGTGGTTGGTGGTTGTGGTTGGTGGTTGTGGTTGGTGGTTGTGGTTGGTGGTTGTGGTTGGTGGTTGTGGTTGGTGGTTGTGATTAGTGCTAGTGGTGGTGGTTGTGGTTGGTGGTTGTGGTTGGTGGTTGTGGTTGGTGGTTGTGGTTGGTGGTTGTGGTTGGTGGTTGTGATTAGTGCTAGTGGTTGGTGGTTGTGGTTGGTGGTTGTGGTTGGTGGTTGTGGTTGGTGGTTGTGGTTGGTGGTTGTGGTTGGTGGTTGTGATTAGTGCTTGTGGTTGGTGGTTGGTGGTTGTGGTTGGTGGTTGTGGTTGGTGGTTGTGATTAGTGCTTGTGGTTGGTGGTTGTGATTAGTGGTTGTGGTTGGTGGTTGTGGTTGGTGGTTGTGGTTGGTGGTTGTGGTTGGTGGTTGTGATTAGTGCTAGTGGTTGGTGGTTGTGGTTGGTGGTTGTGGTTGGTGGTTGTGGTTGGTGGTTGTGGTTGGTGGTTGTGATTAGTGGTTGTGGTTGGTGGTTGTGGTTGGTGGTTGTGGTTGGTGGTTGTGGTTGGTGGTTGTGGTTGGTGGTTGTGATTAGTGGTTGTGGTTGGTGGTTGTGGTTGGTGGTTGTGGTTGGTGGTTGTGGTTGGTGGTTGTGATTAGTGCTTGTGGTTGGTGGTTGTGGTACCTGGCGGCTGCCGACGGCTGAGGTGGTGCTTGTGGTGGCGAAGACGTGAGAGGAGGATGTGGTGGTGGTGGTTGTTGTTTTTGCCGACAGGAATCGTGTCAAGATGACGTCAGAGGAGGTGGAGGAGGAGGAGGTGGTGGAGGAGCAGGAGGTGGAGGAGGTGGAGGAGGTGGAGGAGGTGGAGGAGCAGGAGGAGGAGGAGGTGGTGGAGGAGCAGGAGGAGGAGGAGGTGGAGGAGGTGGTGATGGTGGTGGCGGTAGACAGGAGGAGAACCCCCGTCCCGCCCGGCGTTCCGTAGAACGGGACAAGCCGCGGCGTTCCTGAGTGCGGCAAGCGTGCGGCCGGTGGTGGTGGCGGTGGCGTCACCGTGGCAGCAGTAGCAGCACGGTCCTGGGGGAGCGGCCGGGATGACGTCACACCCCAGTCTCCACTCTGAGACCCTGAGACTCTGAGACCTTGAGACCCTGAGCCCCTGAGACCCGGTCTCTACTCTAGACCCTGAGACCCTGAGACCATGAGACGCTGAGACCCTGAGACCCTGAGACCCTGAGACCCGGTCTCCACTCTAGACCCTGAGACCCTGAGACCCGGTCCCCACTCTAGACCCTGAGACCCTGAGACCCTGAGACCCGGTCTCCACTCTAGACCCTGAGACCCTGAGACCCGGTCCCCACTCTAGACCCTGAGACTCTGAGACCCTGAGACCCTGAGACCCTGAGACTCGGTCCCCACTCTAGACCTTGAGACCCTGAGACCCTGAGACCCGGTCCCCACTTTAGACCCTGAGACCCTGAGACCCTGAGACCCTGAGACCCGGTCCCCACTCTAGACCCTGAGACCCTGAGACCCGGTCCCCACTCTAGACCCTGAGACCCTGAGACCCTGAGACCCGGTCCCCACTCTAGACCCTGAGACCCTGAGACCCTGAGACCCGGTCTCCACTCTAGACCCTGAGACCCTGAGACCCTGAGACCCGGTCCCCACTCTAGACCCTGAGACTCTGAGACCCTGAGACCCTGAGACCCTGAGACTCGGTCCCCACTCTAGACCTTGAGACCCTGAGACCCTGAGACCCGGTCCCCACTCTAGACCCTAAGACCCTGAGACCCTGAGACCCTGAGACCCTGAGACCCGGTCCCCACTCTAGACCCTGAGACCCTGAGACCCGGTCCCCACTCTAGACCCTGAGACCCTGAGACCCTGAGACCCGGTCTCCACTCTAGACCCTGAGACCCTGAGACCCTGAGACCCGGTCCCCACTCTAGACCCTGAGACCCTGAGACCCTGAGACCCTGAGACCCGGTCCCCACTCTAGACCCTGAGACCCTGAGACCCTGAGACCCGGTCCCCACTCTAGACCCTGAGACCCTGAGACCCTGAGACCCGGTCTCTACTCTAGACCCTGAGACCCTGAGACCCTGAGACCCTGAGACTCTGAGACCCTGAGACGCGGTCCCCATTCTAGACCCTGAGACCCTGAGACCCTGAGACCTGGTCTCCACTCTAGACACTGAGACTCTGAGACCCTGAGACCCGGTCTCCACTCTAGACCCTGAGACCCTGAGACCCTGAGACTCTGAGACCCTGAGACCCTGAGACCCGGTCTCTACTCTAGACGCTGAGACCCTGAGACCCGGTCTCTACTCTAGACCCTGAGACCCTGAGACCCTGAGACTCTGAGACCCGGTCTCTACTCTAGACGCTGAGACCCTGAGACCCGGTCTCTACTCTAGACCCTGAGACCCTGAGACTCTGAGACCCTGAGACCCGGTCTCTACTCTAGACCCTGAGACTCTGAGACCCTGAGACCCGGTCTCTACTCTAGACTCTGACCCTGAGACCCGGTCTCTACTCTAGACCCTGAGACCCTGAGACCCTCAGACCCGGTCCCCACTCTAGACCCTGAGACCCTGAGACCCGGTCCCCACTCTAGACCCTGAGACCCTGAGACCCTGAGACCCGGTCTCTACTCTAGACCCTGAGACCCTGAGACCCTGAGACCCTGAAACCCGGTCCCCACTCTAGACCCTGAGACCCTGAGACCCGGTCCCCACTCTAGACCCTGAGACCCTGAGACCCGGTCTCTACTCTAGACCCTGAGACCCTGAGACCCTGAGACCCTGAGACTCTGAGACCCTGAGACGCGGTCCCCATTCTAGACCCTGAGACCCTGAGACCTGGTCTCCACTCTAGACCCTGAGACCCTGAAACCCTGAGACCCTGAGACCCGGTCTCTACTCTAGACACTGAGACTCTGAGACCCTGAGACCCGGTCTCTACTCTAGACCCTGAGACCCTGAGACCCTGAGACCCTGAGACTCTGAGACCCTGAGACGCGGTCCCCATTCTAGACCCTGAGACCCTGAGACCCTGAGACCTGGTCTCCACTCTAGACACTGAGACTCTGAGACCCTGAGACCCGGTCTCCACTCTAGACCCTGAGACCCTGAGACCCTGAGACTCTGAGACCCTGAGACCCTGAGACCCGGTCTCTACTCTAGACGCTGAGACCCTGAGACCCGGTCTCTACTCTAGACCCTGAGACCCTGAGACCCTGAGACTCTGAGACCCTGAGACCCGGTCTCTACTCTAGACCCTGAGACTCTGAGACCCTGAGACCCGGTCTCTACTCTAGACTCTGACCCTGAGACCCGGTCCCCACTCTAGACCCTGAGACCCTGAGACCCGGTCCCCACTCTAGACCCTGAGACCCTGAGACCCTGAGACCCGGTCTCTACTCTAGACCCTGAGACCCTGAGACCCTGAGACCCTGAGACCCTGAGACCCGGTCCCCACTCTAGACCCTGAGACCCTGAGACCCGGTCTCTACTCTAGACCCTGAGACCCTGAGACCCTGAGACCCTGAGACTCTGAGACCCTGAGACGCGGTCCCCATTCTAGACCCTGAGACCTGGTCTCCACTCTAGACCCTGAGACCCTGAAACCCTGAGACCCTGAGACCCGGTCTCTACTCTAGACACTGAGACTCTGAGACCCTGAGACCCGGTCTCTACTCTAGACACTGAGACCCTGAGACCCGGTCTCCACTCTAGACGCTGAGACCCTGAGACCCGGTCTCTACTCTAGACCCTGAGACCCGGTCTCTACTCTAGACCCTGAGACCCGGTCTCTACTCTAGACCCTGAGACCCGGTCTCTACTCTAGACCCTGAGACCCGGTCTCTACTCTAGACCCTGAGACCCGGTCTCTACTCTAGACCCTGAGACCCGGTCTCTACTCTAGACGCTGAGACCCTGAGACCCGGTCTCTACTCTAGACCCTGAGACCCGGTCTCTACTCTAGACCCTGAGACCCGGTCTCTACTCTAGACCCTGAGACCCGGTCTCTACTCTAGACGCTGAGACCCTGAGACCCGGTCTCTACTCTAGACCCTGAGACCCGGTCTCTACTCTAGACCCTGAGACCCGGTCTCTACTCTAGACCCTGAGACCCGGTCTCTACTCTAGACCCTGAGACCCGGTCTCTACTCTAGACGCTGAGACCCTGAGACCCGGTCTCTACTCTAGACCCTGAGACCCGGTCTCTACTCTAGACCCTGAGACCCGGTCTCTACTCTAGACCCTGAGACCCTGAGACCCGGTCTCTACTCTAGACCCTGGGGGTGAGACTCCGTACGAACGAACCGACGACGCTTCTGCTGCTGCTCGTGCTTCCGACTCCTCACCTTGGCGGCTAACTTGGCCTTGTAGGCCACCGACGCCTTCAGATATTCCTTCTTGGCATCGTCAGCCTTCTTCTTGTAAACCTGCGAGACGCAAAACAAAACGGAAAGCGAACCAGGTCAGTCGAGACTGGGTCTCAGGGTCTCAGGGTCTAGAGTAGAGACCGGGTCTCAGGGTCTCTGTGTCTAGAGTAGAGACCGGGTCTCAGGGTCTAGAGTAGAGACCGGGTCTCAGGGTCTCAGGGTCTCGGCGTCTAGAGTGGAGACCGGGTCTCAGGGTCTCAGGGTCTCAGGGTCTCGGCGTCTAGAGTGGAGACCGGGTCTCAGGGTCTCAGGGTCTCAGGGTCTCAGGGTCTAGAGTAGAGACCGGGTCTCAGGGTCTCAGGGTCTCGGCGTCTAGAGTGGAGACCGGGTCTCAGGGTCTCAGGGTCTCAGGGTCTCAGGGTCTAGAGTAGAGACCGGGTCTCAGGGTCTCAGGGTCTCGGCGTCTAGAGTGGAGACCGGGTCTCAGGGTCTCAGGGTCTCAGGGTCTCGGCGTCTAGAGTAGAGACCGGGTCTCAGGGTCTCAGGGTCTAAGGGTCTCAGGGTCTAGAGTAGAGACCGGGTCTCAGGGTCTCAGCGTCTAGTATAGAGATCGGGTCTCAGGGTCTCAGGGTCTCAGCGTCTAGTATAGAGATCGGGTCTCAGGGTTACTGTCTCTGTGTAAGTTCGTCTGCTTGTGAAACCAAATACACCGACACCACTCGGAGGATCATCATCGTCACCACCTCCACCATTTCCACATCCACCACCACCACCACCACGTCCACCACCACCACGTCGACAACCACCACCATCACCACGTCCACCACCACCACCACCACCACATCCACCACCACCACCACCACCCCCACCACCCCCACGTCCACCACCACCACCCCCACCACCCCCACCACCCCCACCACCCCCACCACCACCACCACCACCCCCACCACCACCACATCCACCACCACCACCACCACCCCCACCACCACCCCCACCACCACCACCACCACCACCCCCACCACCACCACCACCCCCACCACCACCCCCACCACCCCCACCACCACCACCACCCCCACCACCACCCCCACCACCCCCACCACCACCACCACCACCACATCCACCACCACCACCACCACCACCACCCCCACCACCACCACATCCACCACCACCACCACCCCCACCACCACCACCACCACATCCACCACCACCACCACCCCCACCACCACCCCCACCACCACCACCACCCCCACGTCCACCACCACCACCCCCACCACCCCCACCACCACCACCACCACCCCCACCACCACCACATCCACCACCACCACCACCCCCACCACCACCCCCACCACCACCACCACCACCACCCCCACCACCACCACCACCACGAGGAGCACCTGCTTGTGCTGGTGGGCGAGGCTGCCCCACGTGTTGGCGGCGATGCGCGAGGCCTCCCCGAAGGAGACGTCAGGGTGCTGGCCCCTGACGGCCGCCAGAGTGTCGTGGAAGAAGAGCGCGTAGGCCGAGTGGGGCCGCACCGGGGTCACCGGGGTCGTGGGGGTCACCGGGGTCGCGGGGGTCACCGGGGTCGCGGAGGTCGCCGGGGTCACCGTCAGTATGTACTGCTGTAATCATAGCAGGTACCACCACAGTCAGTATGCACCGCTGTTAGATTGTTAAGAGTAGTTTTAAGACCCGGGCAACGCCGGGTACTTCCCGCTAGTAACCCTATAAGGGTTCAAATAACCCTATAAGGGTCCTAAAAGCCCAGATAAACGTTACAATAACCCCTATAAAGGTCCTAATAACCCCTATAAGGGTCCTAATACATCAGTAGAACCAAGGTGTTGTGAGTTTTTGTTGTAATATATATAACGGCCGACCCGCGACTCACCCCGTCTCGCAGTAGCCACACGGGCAACGCCAAGTACATTGGAGTCACTTCCAGAGTTATAGCAGTCGCAGCAGCAGCAGCAGTAGTCGTAGAAGTAGTCGTAGTAGTAGCAGCAGTAGCAGCAGCAGCAGTAGTCGTAGAAGTAGTCGTAGTAGTAGCAGCAGTACTAGCAGCAGCAGTAGTAGTAGCATCAGTCGCAGCAGCAGCAGTAGTAGTATCAGTAGACGTAGCAGCAGCGATTGTATCAGCGGTAGTATTAGTAGTATTAGTAGTAGTATCAGCGGTAGTATTAATAGTATTAGTAGTAGTATCAGCGGTAGTATTAGTAGTATCAGCGGTAGTATTAGTAGTATTAGTAGTAGTATCAGCGGTAGTATTGCCACCACTGGCACCACTGCAGTTGTAACTGCTCATTATTGTAGGTAGTAGTAGTGGTAGTTAGTTAGTGGTAAGTTGTAGTTAGTTAGTGGTAGTTAGTGGTAGTTAGTGGTAGTTAGTTAGTGGTAGTTAGTAGTAGTTAGTAGATACCTAGTAGAAAGTTGTAGTTAATAGTAGTTAGCTAGTTAGGTAGCTGGTTAGTTGTAGGTAGTAGTTGTGAGTTGTTAGTAGTAGTTAGTTAGTTGGTAGTAAGTAGTGGTAGTTGTTTGTTAGTAGCTAGTAAGTAGTAGTAGTTAGTAGTAGTTAGTAGTGGTAGTTAAGTAGTGATAGTAGCTAGTAAGTAGTGGTAGTTGTTTTTGTTAGTAGTAGTTAGTAATTAGTTAGTAAGTAGTTAGTAAGTGGTAAGTAGTAGCTATTAGTAATTAGTGAGTAGTAGTTAGTAGTTTGTAGTGTTTGTTGTTTGTAGCGAGAAGCGACGTCTCTTCAACCCACTTCCTGTATCGGACCACGCACTTTTATATGGGACGCGGCCTGGAATCGATTCATCGATTACCTGCGCTGGCGATCCGCCTGCCGATTAACTCGATCCCACGCGATGTGGGTGAGTGAGTGGATGGTGAGTGGGTGGGTGAGTGAGTGGGTGGGTGAGTGAGTGGGTGGGTGAGTGGGTGAGTGAGTGGGTGGGTGGGTGGGTGAGTGGGTGGGTAAGTGAGTGAGTGGGTGGGTGGGTGGGTGGGTGAGTGAGTGGGTGGGTGGGTGGGTGAGTGGGTGGGTGAGTGGGTGGGTAAGTGAGTGAGTGGGTGAGTGGGTGGGTGGGTGAGTGGGTGGGTGGGTGAGTAGGTGGGTGAGTGGGTGGGTGGGTGAGTGAGTGAGTGGGTGGGTGAGTGGGTGGGTGGTGAGTGGGTGAGTGAGTGAGTGGGTGAGTGGGTGAGTGAGTGGGTGGGTGAGGGAGTGGGTGGTGAGTAGGTGGGTGAGTGGGTGGGTGGGTGAGTGGGTGGGTGAGTGGGTGAGTGAATGAGTGGGTGGGTGAGTGAGTGGGTGGTGAGTGGGTGGGTGAGTGGGTGGGTGGGTGAGTGAGTGAGTGAGTGAATGGGTGAGTGGTTGAGTGAGTGGGTGGGTGGGTGAGTGGGTGGGTGAGTGGGTGGATGGGTGAGTAGGTGGGTGGGTGGGTGGGTGGGTGGGTGAGTGGGTGGGTGGGTGAGTAGGTGGGTGAGTGGGTGGGTGGGTGAGTGAGTGAGTGGGTGGGTGAGTGGGTGGGTGGTGAGTGGGTGAGTGAGTGAGTGGGTGAGTGGGTGAGTGAGTGAGTGGGTGAGGGAGTGGGTGGTGAGTAGGTGGGTGAGTGGGTGGGTGGGTGAGTGGGTGGGTGAGTGGGTGAGTGAATGAGTGGGTGGGTGAGTGAGTGGGTGGTGAGTGGGTGGGTGAGTGGGTGGGTGGGTGAGTGAGTGAGTGAGTGAATGGGTGAGTGGTTGAGTGAGTGGGTGGGTGGGTGAGTGGGTGGGAGAGTGGGTGGATGGGTGAGTAGGTGGGTGGGTTGGTGGGTGAGTGAGTGGGTGGGTGAGTGGGTGGGTGGGTAGGTGAGTGAGTGAGTGGGTGGGTGGGTGAGTGGGTGGGTGGGTGGGTGAGTGAGTGGGTGGTGAGTGGGTGGGTGAGTGGGTGGGTGGGTGAGTGGGTGAGTGAGTGAGTGGGTGAGAGGGTGAGTGAGTGGGTGGTGAGTGGGTGGGTGAGTGAGTGGGTGGGTGGGTTGGTGGGTGAGTGAGTGGGTGGGTGAGTGAGTGGGTGGGTGGGTAGGTGAGTGAGTGAGTGGGTGGGTGGGTGAGTGGGTGGGTGGGTGGGTGAGTGAGTGGGTGGTGAGTGGGTGGGTGAGTGGGTGGGTGGGTGAGTGGGTGAGTGAGTGAGTGGGTGAGAGGGTGAGTGAGTGGGTGGTGAGTGAGTGAGTGGGTGGTGAGTGGGTGGGTGAGTGGGTGGGTGGTGAGTGGGTGGGTGAGTGGGTGGGTGAGTAGGTGGGTGGGTGAGTGAGTGAGTGGGTGTTGAGTCTATGGTGCAGTGTTGAGTCTATGGGCAGTGTTGAGTCTATGGTGCAGTGTTGAGTCTATGGGCAGTGTTGAGTCTATGGGCAGTGTTGAGTCTATGGTGCAGTGTTGAGTCTATGGGCAGTGTTGAGTCTATGGTGCAGTGCTGAGTCTATGGTGCAGTGTTGAGTCTATGGGCAGTGCTGAGTCTATGGGCAGTGCTGAGTCTATGGGTAGTGTTGAGTCTATGGTGCAGTGTTGAGTCTATGGTGCAGTGTTGAGTCTATGGGTAGTGTTGAGTCTATGGTGCAGTGTTGAGTCTATGGTGCAGTGCTGAGTCTATGGTGCAGTGTTGAGTCTATGGTGCAGTGTTGAGTCTATGGTGCAGTGTTGAGTCTATGGGCAGTGTTGAGTCTATGGTGCAGTGTTGAGTCTATGGGCAGTGCCTATCAGGTCTACGAAATCTAAATACGGATCGCATCACGTGGTCGCCTATCTGCTCTACGTTTTTCTAAAAGCGCGTTGCTAAGGCCCCACGTGATCACAGAGGCCTGCGCGAGGTAGCGGCACGGAACGTCTGACCTCAACCCCACAACGAGGACATTGTGAGTCTGTGGGTTTCTGTGTGAGTCTGTGGGTCTCTGTGTGGTGAGTCTGTGGGTCTCTGTGTGGTGAGTCTGTGGGTCTCTGTGTGGTGAGTCTGTGGGTCTCTGTGTGGTGAGTCTGTGGGTCTCTGTGTGGTGAGTCTGTGGGTCTCTGTGTGATGAGTCTGTGGGTCTCTGTGTGATGAGTCTGTGGGTCTCTGTGTGGTGAGTCTGTGAGTCTCTGTGTGGTGAGTCTATGGGTCTCTGTGTGGTGAGTCTGTGGGTCTCTGTGTGAGTCTGTGGGTCTCTGTGTGAGTCTGTGGGTCTCTCTGTGTAGTGAGTCTATGGGTCTCTGTGTGAGTCTGTGTGGGTCTCTGTGTAGTGAGTCTGTGGGTCTCTGTGTGGTGAGTCCGTGGGTCTCTGTGTGAGTCTATGGGTCTCTGTGTGGATCTCTGTGTGAGTCTGTAGGTCTCTGTGTGAGTCTGTGTGGGTCTCTGTGTAGTGAGTCTGTGGGTCTCTGTGTGAGTCTGTGTGGGTCTCTGTGTAGTGAGTCTGTGGGTCTCTGTGTGGTGAGTCTGTGTGAGTCTCTGTGTGTAGTGAGTCTGTGGGTTTTCTGTGTGGTGAGTCTGTGTGAGTCTCTGTGTAGTGAGTCTGTGGGTCTCTGTGTATTGAGTCTGTGGGTCTCTGTGTAGTGAGTCTGTGTGTCTCTGTGTGAGTCGGTGTTGGCAGCTGCAGGATGTCTTCACACCAAGGAGGCCGTGCCGGGCTGCGCCGCGGTGACCCCACTACGTTGAGCGGCGCCGGTCGCGGTGGCGGCGGTGACCTCACCGGGAAGGTCAAGGGGTTGGAGGTGGTGGTGGAGGAGAAGGGCGATGAGGTGGAGGTGGTGATGATGGCGGAGAAGGGAAATGCCGTGGCCGCTGGTGGTGACAGCGCCGGGAAGGTCAAGGGGTTGGAGGTGGTGGTGGAGGAGAAGGGCGATGAGGTGGAGGTGGTGATGGTGGAGGAGAAGGGAGATGTTGTGGCCGCTGGCGGTGACCTCATCGGGAAGGTCAAGGAGGTGGAGGTGGTGGTGGAGGAGAAGGTCAAGGAGGTGGAGGTGGTGATGGCGGAGAAGGGAGATGAGGTGGAGGTGGTAATGGAGGAGAAGGGAGATGAGGTGGAAGATAAGAGTGAGGTGGAGGATGGGAAGGGTGAGGAGGAGGTGGAGGATGGGAAGGGTGACGAGTTGGATAAGAAGGGTGAGGAGGGTGAGGAGGTGGATGGGAAGGGTGGGGAGGGTGAGGAGGGTGAGGAGGAGGTGGATGATGAGGACGAGGAGGTGGGTGACAGTGAGGAGGAGGTGGAGGGTGCGGAGGAGGTGGAGGGTGAGGTGGATGAGGATGAGAAGGGTGAGGAGGTGGAGGACGAGGAGGGTGACAGTGAGGAGGTGTTGATGGCCTCCTCCTCCTCCCACGTCGTCCTCAAGCGCCAGCGGAGCCTCACGGGGCGAGGCAGCCCCACGGAGCAGGAGAGAAAGAGGTACACACACACTTATACATATATATACATACACATATATATACATACACAACACATACATACACACACATATATATACATACATATACATACATACACACATACATACACACACATACATACACATACATATATATACATACACACACATACACACACATACATACACACATACACACATACACACACATACATACACATACATATATATACAACAACAACACACAACCGCCATTCGCCACTAAGTGGCGGTGACGTCACCACGACGCTTGTGCCAGGCCATGTGCACCTTGAGGCTACCACGTGAAGTGTCGAACACCCGCTGGCAGGAGGTCACGGGGCAGACCCAGCAGGTGCCACGGGTCGACTGACTGTGATGACCGAGACGACTGGCTGATGCACCACCTGTGCCCCCTACTGTGCCAACTTGCTGTGCTTTAGCCACCCAGCACTCCGCTCGTTGTTGTGAGCGTCGCTCACAGAGGCTGATCTTGACACTGCTGGTACCAGTCATCGGCAAGTCCACTCAGCTCCACGTCCTCCTGTACCACATCACTCCATCTCTTCTATAACCCGTGCCGCGCCAGTTTC